GACTTGACAGGGCCAAACCAAAAGGAAAAGAACCTGAGAACAGGACAAAGGTAGCATGGCTGGGGCGGAGATGGTGGAAAAATGGCACAAGATGGCTGAGAAGTAAAAATAGCTGGCTACCAAAGAGAACAGATGGTCAGTAAAGTTCCAAAAGGCCACCAAATGGAGGTTTGAGGGAAACCGACTAGAATCTGGCCAAGTCCCAGTGGTGCTCTAGCCGAGTATCCTTATGCAATGTAAGGTCCTTGAAGCGGCAGCACAGGTTTGTGATGCCTGGCTAAGTGCAGAACTCGGCCGGGGCTCGAGATCTGACTCTTTCTGTACACACAGAATGGAGCCGAACTCACTGGTGGGGAGAGATCTAGTTCTAAGCCCATAACCACCAATAGTGCAAGGGGAGAAGACAAGAGGAGAAAGAGTAGAGACGTGAGGAGAGAAGAGGGAGGAAGAGGAACAGGAAGAGAAGAGGAGAAAGAGAAGGAGGAAGAAGATAAAAAGAAAAGGAAACAGCATGGAACAGCCATGAGCAGTTAGGAGGTGCCAGAGAGGAGCTGCTCCCCAAACCTACCAGCCACAACAAAGAAACAGCCACCATGCCCCCTGGCAGAAATGATTATCTCTGCTGCCCTACTGTCTGGGTAAGGAGATAATACTCCTTACTAGATAACTCTGAAGATCACAGTCCATGAAGTGAACTCTGCCCGTCCCTCCAACCATCCCCTCCCTGTGCTCACCAGCACCGACACACACATTAAGCACAGCATGCATTTGCTGACCTTGCTTTCCCCACACAGTACTGAGGGCAAAACCACGGAGCCTTCTCTCTCTCTCTCTCTCTCTCTCTCTCTCTCTCTCTCTCTCTCTCTCTCTCTCTCTCACACACACACACACACACACACACACATACACACACACACACACACACACATTTTTTAACCATTTTGACACAGAAGTCTCACATGTGGCCTGAGCCTCCCAATTCCTGTGCCTTGACCTCCCAAAACACCTAAAATTAAAGACTTGAATCACCAAGTTCAGTGCAAGGTAGCTTTTCGTTGCTGTGGGGCAGGTATGAAGAAAGGAGCATCCCGGAAACCCTCAAAGGCTAGAAATCCCACCCCATTCACTACATTCTTTTTGAGAGAGGGGTGGGGAGGCTGGCCCATGTATTGTTGGGGTTTATTGTTAACAAATTCCTGTTAGTCATACTCTGCTAGGCTCTGTCCTGAATGTTTTGAGGAAGACAAAATTCTGTAACAGCAAGCTCCTGCCCTCAGAGGTAGGTGATGTGGAAAGGGAAAACTAAAGAAGAAAAGGGTTAAGGAAGTTTCGAGGTTTTTTTGTTTGGTTTGGTTGGTTTTTGTTTTTTCAAGGCAGGGTTTCTCTGTGTAACAGTCTTGCCTGTACTGCAACTCGCTTTGTAGACCAGGCTGACCCCGAACTCACAGAGATCCACCTGCCTCTGCCTCCTGAGTGCTGGAATTAAAGGCGTGTGCCACCACTGCCCAGTAAGTTTTGTGGTTTTTTTAATGCTCAAACAAAATGTGATTTTGTTTGTTTGTTTGTTTGTTTGTTTGAGTTTTTATTGTTTGTTTGCTCTGATACAGAAAGGGCAGATCCAGGTCAGAATTTGGGATGGTAAGGAAGAAAGCAAAGGATGGCATGGCGAAGAGAGACCCTGTAAAGCAACTTCTCCAGGTTCAGGACATGGCCTTTAGTGAGGTCTGAAGTCCAAAGATACAACAGCAGAAGCGAGCTGTCTGTGCAGGACACAGAGGGACTGTATGTGTGACTCATGGGTTTCCAAGAACTCTGGTACAAAGGACCCTTGGCCATTCACCCTGCCCACCCTGAATTATTGCTTTCCACTTCAGAACTGTAGCCAATAGTCAAGGTCAAGTCCCCAAAATACTGAAAGCAAAGACAGTGGTTTCTTGATAAAGAGATAAGGGAGGCTGAGGGTACAGGCAGGTGAGGTCATTGTCACCACCAAGGCCAAGGCAAGGTCCCAGGGGATGGAAGCGGAAGGCTAAGTACTGAGTAGAGACATCCCAGGACAGAGTTCAGAAGATGAGGGCGGGTTGCCTGGCTTGGATTGCTTTTAAAACCTAGATCCCCTCTGAGTCCTGCTGTTGTAACACTAACTGCCATTTCAGCAATCCTGCTGTCGAGAAAAGAAAGGACAAGGTGTAGCTGAGCCCTGCTTTGCTGGTGGTCATGCATGTCCACGGACAAACATGTTCTGGCAGGCAGGCTGCAGCAACTTCCTAAGAACTCCCTTGCTCGCCCTCTCGGCTCCTCAGCAAACCAGACGACTTTCATGTTTTGGTGACAGCATGCCACAGGTGAAGAAACTGAGGGTTCGGAGGGGCGAAGTTACTGCCTGAGACCTTGCAGACGGCCAGTTACAGTAACTGACCCTGAAGGCTAGCTCTGAATGAGCCCAGGTTTACCTTATGAGGTTGCTGGCGCAACATGAGCAGGCGAGTGCCCTTGAGCAGAAATTTCCTCCGTCCTCCTGTTTCTGGAAACTACTTCATCAGTCTTGGAAAGAGTGGGAAAGAGAGGGTGGGGCAGAGGTAGAGGGGAACACAGAGCTTTGGCAATCACAGAAAGACATGGAGTTCTACCAGCTCTTGTTCCTGAGGTTGTAGACTTCTGCCCTTTGCTTTTTTTTTTCTCCTGAAGATAGAGGTCACAGAACCTCCTCACTTATTTTGATTCTGCCTTGTCAGGGAGTCCCAGGAAGCTCCCCCTTTCCCTCTACAAAAGGGTTTACTTCATCGTTGTTTTTATTGTTCAATAATTTCATACATGCATATAATGTGTTTTGACAAAGTTCATCCTCATTGTCTCCCTCCAATTCCTCCACTGTCTCACTGGATCAGGCTATTTCTTTTAGACCACCAACCAGCTCCCAGGGAATCATGACATGGAGACTTATTAGTTTGGAATGTGTGGATTTGTTCAGGCTCGTTTCTGGCTAGCTCTTTGAACTGAAATTAACCTATTTCTCTTTTTCTATCTTTTGCCCTAGGGCTCTTTACTTTTCTTTCCTTCTGAATATCTTACTTTCACTGTTTCTTGTGTCTGGCTGGCCGATGGCAAATGACTTTTGACCCTGGGTATCTCCCTTGTTCTCTCCTCCTTCTTTTCTCTCAATCTTAGATTTCTCCTCCTACTTATTCTCTCTGCCCACCAATCCTGCCTATCCCTCTCCTGCCTAGCTGTTGGCTGTTCAGCTTTCTAATGGACCAATCAGATGCCTTAGGCAAGCAAGGTAAAGCAGCAACACGTCTTCACACAATTAAACACACAACCTTACATCATGAAACAAATGCAGTATGAACAGAAGTAACACACCATTACACAGCTTAATATTCGGCAGCAGAAACAAATGCAACACATCTTTGCCCAGTAAAAATAATATTCCACAACATCCCACCCAACTTCTTGTACTTTTTAAAAAAAAAACCCTACTGAGTCCAGTTAGCATTGCCTATATGTGCATGAGTGCGGGACCATCTACTGAAGCATGGATAGCCTTTCAGGGGCTACATATCTGAAAAAAAATACTCTCCCTCCCATAACAGCAACCAATTACCAACAGCTCCTCAGATAAGGGTGGGACTTTATGATCCCCTCCCTCCTGCATGCTAGGAACACTCCATCATTCTTTGTGTTGTTGTTGTTGTTTGCTTTTTTGCTTTTTGAGACAGGGTTTCTATGTGTAACAGCTCGGGTTGTCCTAGAACTTGCTCTGTAGACCAGACCTTGAACTCACAGCGATCTGCATTTCTCTCCCTTCTGAGTGTGGGATCAAAGGCATGCACTACCACTGCCCAGTTACACTTCATTCTTAAATGGACCGTTGAAAGCCACTTTAAATTTATTGTGGTTACAAACAGGAGATAGATACATTAAAAAAAATAAAGTCAAAGCTGGCCATGAAGGCTGATGCCTGTAATCCTAGTAGTCAGGAGGCTGAGGCAGAAGGATTGTAAATTCCAGGCTAGACTAGGCTAGGCTTTTGATACAAAACCCTGTATCAAAACCAGTCATGAATTGTCACTTGGAAAAATTTCTTTCCAGGCTCTCAGAGTCCCAAAGTTTCTAGAAAGCCTTTCTTCCAAGTTGTCTTAGAATTGATGTGGTATGAAGCTTTGGATGAATCAAACTATGAGGAAGAGAGGGAGGGAAGGAGGTAGGGAGGAAGAAAGAGGGGGAGAGAGAGAGAGAGAGAGAGAGAGAGAGAGAGTGAGTGAGGGAGAGAGAGAGAGAAGCACCAGAGCCAGTCAGAACATGTGCACATGATCTATGCTTCTGGTGTGGCATGAAACTCACTAATGAAACTGACGGTGGCTTAATGAGTCACATTCCAGGGTGACCAGATCTCTTTTCTAGAAGCTCTGTCAATGGAATTTCTTCTCAGAGCCCACAAACACCTCCTAGGTCTTCTTCCCTCTTCAATGGCAGTCCGTGGTCCCTTCAAATCTTTGGGCCTCCTAAGGTATTCCTCCCAGATATCAAGGTCCCTAAGGAGCTTAGAGTTTGCAAAGCCCAGAATATGCAACCGAACGGGACTGTGGGATCTCAAGGGAAGGTTTCCTGGTATCATTTAGGATGGACTAGTGAGGAAAATATTGCCAGTTGTAAGAAAGTATCCCTTCAGCTAGCTACAATCAACCTCCCTACAGTGGGACAGCAGAGCTTGTGGGGACAGAAAGAGAAAGAACACCCACTGGCTTTTTCTGACAGAGGAGGGATCTGAGGAGGAGCAGAAGTAGGAACAAAAATACATCCCCAAAACCCAAAGCAAAAGCAGGGCTGTCCCCAGCGCCCGATGTGAGGGAGCTAATGGGAAACAGCTTCTTGGAGGGTGGAGAGCAGAATTCAGGAACTTCTGGGATAGGGCCACTGAAGAGGGGGCTGGAGGAAGCTGGTTTATTGAGACCAGCTGTAGCTCCTCAATCTCAGAGATCTTTGGACTCTGCCCTGGGGCAGGCTCACACCCTACTCCAAGCCACAAGAAACCAGCACAGGTTGCCTGGGCAGCCTGAGGCACCTCTGCCGTCTGTGGCTTTCCAGACTCCTCTGAAACAAAAGATTAGAGAAGAATCTTCATCCAGCAGCAGGACACAGCCCTCAACCTTGTCTGTTCCTGCCCAGGAAAGGCCAGGAGGAAGAGGCCACAAAACAAGCCAGCCCTCTCCCCAGTCCCTTGATCTACTCACCGTCAGCATCTGGAGACCCAATGGCCCAAGCCCACTGGCACTGCTACCCCTGGCTTGTTCTCCTCTGTGGTATGTGCACCCCAGCCTCCCCCCGGCAGGCAGCTCTGATCTTTCTCCCCTCAGGAAACTTTGGAGTGAAGGCTAGGACTCCGGTTACCTCTTTTCTCTTTGTCACCCTGTTTTGAAGAAAAGGTCCCCTGCAGAGCCTTCATGATTTGGATCAAGTCTTGCTGGTACCTTTCCACCCCATGACACAATTATTGTGGCACTCATTGGGTTGATGACTTTTTTTTTTTATAAAAAGATGACTGCAGTAAGGGCCGTGCAGAAGGGAGACAGGTGGGGCACACACAGCACAGACTGCTAGAGATTTAGAACCCGTGAGCCCTGGAGGACTTGTTGCCCAGAAAGTCACTAAGAGGAATCCTTGAAGGTCCAAGGATGGAGAATTCTTGCTAAACCAACTTAACAGGATTCTTGCTGAAGGCAGGGTAATCAAGTATCAATGATGGGGTGTGTATGAGAGAGGTATCTGATCTACTTTTGAAGGTGATCAGATATAGAAGGGCGGAGGTTCTCTGTACACTGATTTAGCAGAATTCTTTCTAAGACAGCAAAAGCCTGGTAGGACAGGGCAGGTACAAAGGGTCAGTGTTGAGGTCTTGTCGAGAAAAGAGACCAACGGGAGACTGTTACATCACATCTATGGGGCCCTGTTTGTTTCCAATCAGGTACCCAGTTCAGCTCCCCACGGCTATCCCTGGTCCTGGGGAAATCTATGTGTTCTCTGTCAGGAGTACCTGCTCATTCGTTCAGCATCCTCAGGTGAATGAGGATCTCCTTGGTACCATCCCTGTGCCAGAGAACAGAGGGAGGCGGGGAGATCTTGGTGTTCAGAGGAACGTGGATTGGTTAGGTCTCTCTTCCTATGTCTGCACCTTTAGCAATGCCATTTTGCTAGAGAGCTGCTTCTGCAGAACTGAGGGTTTGTTTTCTTAGATTAATTTCTTAGATTTCCTTTGTGTCTATGAGGCCAAGGCATTCAAGCAGGGCATTCCTGAAGCCACTCCCTGTACTCAGTCCTCCTCGACCTTCAGGGAAATAGGTTCCCTAAGTGCCGAGAGGTGGAAAGAGGGAAACAAGTGTAAGAGGTCCCTGGACTTTCGGGTCAGGAAGGATCTCTAACCCAGGCCTCCTTCACACAGCCCCAGAGCTAAGGGGATACAGCTCAGTGCCTGGCCTACAGTAGGCACTTAAAACCTTTTGTTAAGTGAATATTGGGGTGCTTTCTTAGGATCATACCAAATTTGCTACAGACCCAAACTGGAAACTACATTTTTATATACTGTGACCCTTTTGTGGCATGCCCGCTCCACACCTACACACTTTCCAGGACCATTTCCTATGCTGACCTAGTGAAAAAATAGGAAGGAACCCCCCTATCTTTGGTGGTGCTGAGAACTAAAAGTGAGGGTATTTTAGTTCTTTGAAGTATGCAAATGCTTTACCACTGAGCCAAACTGCCATTGCCACCCTCTGCCCCCTCTTTAGATGGCCTGGGTTCAAAACTCCACCTAAGCACTGATTCACTGTGGAAAAACCTGGACAAATTATGAAACCTACCTGGACCTTGACTTCTTCTATTATAGAAGAGGTATAATCATACATTTCTCAAAGGGTTGTCACAACTATCAAAGGAGATACACTTGTAACCAATTGACAATAAAACTTCATTCTGGGAAATAGAGCATTAGGCAATTTTTTGTTACATGACAACATGGAATGTACTTTAAAAACTCACATGGCACCTGGGGGTGGTGGTGCATACCTTTAATCCCAGCACTTGGGAGGCAGAGACAGGCAGATTTCTGTGAGTTCAAGGCCAGCCTAGTCTACAAAGAGAGTTCCAGGATAGCCAGGACTGTTTCACAGAGAAACCCTGTCCTGAAAAAACAAACATTGCTGAGCTCATTTTTATTTTGTTTTGTATTAACTTTTGAGATGTGTTCTCATGTAGCTCTGGCTGCCTCCATACTTGCGACACAGCCAAAGGTAGTCTTGAAGTCCTGCCTCTACCTCCCCAGCATTGGTAATACGGGTATACAATGCTATGCTCAGCTGGAAATTACTGAATTCCATATCTGGCACACGGTAGGAGTTCTTGAAACGCTGCTTCACCTTTCCCCGCCAGGTGATGATGTTGGACTAGGATGGATTGCTGCCTTATGTTTAATGGAAGCCTAGAATAGTAAGCAGCGCCCAGGACTGTAAGAAAGGGTGTAAGTGACCCTTGTGTTCAAATAAATTATACGCATACACACATGGAAGCAGAGGTGATTATTTATCAAGGCTCTCTATGGCATTTCAAAGAAAATTTGATTTTACATTTTATTCAATTGCCCCACTTTACTAGACCCTGAAAAGACAATTAAATTAGAAGAGGAAAAAAGATGGAATGAATACAAACCCATTGAAAAGTGGCAATCACTTGTCAATGAGCATGACCCAGGGTGCCATTCAGTTCAGCCTGATTTGCCATGAAATGCGATTATTTTTAGTCTCAAGTAGAGACTGGCCAGCATGGTGCATTTCAAAGGATACAGGTTGTGCAGGCTGAGGGAAGATGTCCCTGCTCTCTGTGAGAGCTCTCTGGTGCCAAAATAACCCTAGGTTTGTCTCCTGTTTCCTAGCATGTGCCTGGAGTTACCCACAAGCTGGATCCCTTGGAAGAGAAGATGTGAGAAACTGTTCAAGCAACCCTCCGGTGAGGCCTTGGCCATACCCCCACAGACCCCTCCCACCCATCATTTTCTCCATCCCCCCCCCTCAGTGGCCAGTTGCTGGCCTCTCCTACAGGCTTTCTTCTGAGTTTTGCACTCTGGGGCCCCTGTTTCTTACTAAAGTCCACCAGCAGCAGCTCAGGTATCTAACATACCCAATGCGGGTATTTCATTCCTCAGACCCACTGATTTCCACAGCTTTTCGGCTTCTGCCTTGGCCTGGGGCTGGGGAGCTTCCATGAGGAGGGAGAGAAAGAGGGTGGATGGTGCGAGAGACCTCTAGCTGACTTCTAACTGAGGCTAGGCAGAGGCAAGGAAGGAAATGGAAAGAATAAAAATAGAAATTCTAGAGCAGTGGTTCTCAACCTGAGGGTCACGACCATGGAAAAACATATTTCCGTTGGTCTTAGGGACTGAGATACCACTTGGTAGCAAAATTGCAGGTACGAAGTAGCAACGAAAACGTACGGTTGGAGGTTCCTGAGACCATCGGAAATATGTTTTCCAAAGGTCACGATCCACAGGTTGAGAACCGCCGCCGTTCTAGAGGGAACCTGGGAAGAAGGAAGCACAGAAGGAAAGAGGGAGGGAGCTGGGGAAGCAGAAGATCTAGTTACAAAGCGAAAGAGGGAGGCCAAGGCTGGCAAATGAAAGTCAAAGGGAAGAAAGTGGCCAACTTCGCAACTGGCCTCTAAAGCGATTGTTCCAACAAGAGAGGGTAAAGAACTCCAGGCAGGCGTGGGTTCCAAAGTGTGAGGAAGTGGGCAAGCTCCAGTAGTAGTCTGAGCCCCAGGGGAAACATAGAACATCTGCATGTAATAGCGACTTAGAGGGCCACAAGGGCCAGCAAGTGAATGAGCAAGCCACAACATTTTCATATTCAAACAAATTTGGATCTTCTGTCGAGGAGAAGGCAAAGAAAACAAACAAGAAAAAACGTGGTTTTCATTTGAACGACAAAAGGCCCTCTAAAGAAATATCGGGCTTGAAGAGGATCTTTCTGGAACATGGTGCAAACGCAGGGGTACTATTTGGGGTCAACGGATAACTACTGGAAAAGTAGGGATGCTGGATGAAAAACAGAACACTTGATTTCATTTAAATTTCAGGAGACAATATTTTGATATTAAAGTGTGCTCCAAATGGTGCGTGGAACATACTTATATAAGTATGACCCCTTACTTAACTGAAGGTCAAACCTAACCAGATAGGTGGCTTGTACTTTTTTTCATTAAATCTGGCAACTGGGCTCTCAAGGTATTTCCAAAGGGATTGCCCATAGCCTGTCCTGGAACCAGGGATGAAACCCCTATAGATTTCATCCCCACAACCAGTGAACATTCAGGCCCCTTAATTGTCACGAAGGGTCTTTCTTCAAGCTCTGCAATACCTCTATCTCTACTTAACTTAGGCTTCTTAATTTAGACTAACAAACACTAACAGCTGCCACCCCATCCCCTCTCTGGTTTTGTTTTTGTTTTGAGAAAGGGTTTCACTAGTAGTCTTGGCTGTCCTGGTACTCACTCTGTAAAATAGGCTGGCCTTGAACTCACAGAGATCCACCTGCCTCTGCCTCAGCCACTACACCTGGCTGACCCGTCCTTCTTTTGTTTGTTTGTTTGTTTAGTTTAGCTTTTTCTTGTTGTTGCTTTTGTTTTTCAAGACAGGGTTTCTCTGTGTAGCCCTGGCTGTATTGGAACTCACTCTGTAGACCAGGCTGGCCTCAAACTCAAAGAGATGCAGATGCCTCTGCCTCCCAAGAGCTGGGATTAAAGGTGTGCACCACCACTATTTGGTAACTCCAAGATTTAATATAGCCTAAATACCCCTAAACAGACCCTCAGGAGAAGCTGAGGACTGCCTTAGAGACAAAGTTCTAGGTGTTATTTATTTTAAACAATGCCTATGCTTCAATGTCTTCCTGTTATTGGTCAGTTCCTGCCAGTTACTGCAGTCAACACAACAATGAGGCTCGCGGCCCTCCGCCAGCAGATGCAGGCCTGGAATCTCTCTGCCTACATCATCACAGACACAGATGCACACATGGTGAGAACCACCTCTGTTCCCTTTCACCCTCTCCTTCTCCCAGACTTGGACTTGTTGGTCTCTAAGCACAAGCCACAACCAAGAGGCTAGCAAGAGTTGGAAACTGAAGATGGAGAAAGCATTTCCCAGTGAGTAGACTGAGACTGGAAAGCTCACACACACTAGTTTAAGGTCAACTGAAAGAACATACCTCTCTCCATTGGAGGAAAGACAGGGCCTCTAGAAATGACATTATAAAAACAACTTTGGGGCTAGGGAGATGGTGCGCATGCACACACATACACAAAGTGTTGAAAATTAAAACAACTTCAGAAGAGATTTTGACCACTTCCCAGATGACAGCTCCAGAAAGAATGGGCCTGGAAGAATTCTAAGCTTCCTCCTGGTCCAGGCTGTCTTAGACCCTGCTGGGTAGAGCAGCGAAATGGCTCAGAGTCCTAGACTATCAAGCATGGAGAGTAGACTAAGGGGCGAGAACAGACAGAAGCCAAGGTGCCAGTCTGTACATGACCTACTTTCCCCAAATAGCAGGGCAGCCTACCCAGCCTACCCTTTCCCACCAGTAGCCCTGCCTCTAACTGATCTAGCTCCTCACCAGCCCAGCTGGAAGAAAAGGTATGTTCAAGGTCAATGTGTTTGCTTCAATTAATTTCTGACCTGCTGGGGATGCTTAAGAAGTTTGACTAAGTATCCAAGCTTCTTTCAACAAAAATAACAACGATGTATCTTCAAGGATGAGAAGCAACAAAGCCATCTGCCGGTATCCATAGTCCAAAGGAATGAACGATGTTTCAACTCCCTTATATAAAATGACATAGTGTTTGCATATAATATAGTCATAGCCTTCAGTGTGCTTTAAATCATCTTTAGAAGGCTTATAATACCTAATACAATTAGAATGCTATATAAATGCTACCATACAGTTCCCCTTAGGGAATAATGGCAATAAAAGCATACACTAAATACTGTACCATTTTTCCAATATTTTTCACCAAGGCCAAGATTAACAGAGGCTGCAGATGCAGAATTCGTGGATATGGATGTCTAACTGGCCAATGGTGTATAAAGCCAGATACAGAAGTTCTTTATGGAGTACCCAATGTAGTGTGATAGACTCGGGGAATACCAAAAGGCATGGCCCAAGACCATACTGAATTTGCATTATGGTCATGGCGGTACATTTTGTAGAACAATCTGGTGTGACCAAGTTCAGTGCCACGCTGTGGATTTGACACCCAAGAGACACACTTTTTGAAAGGTGAGGAGGCTAGTATGCTGAAGGAGTCACAAAAGCTTCCTAGAAGAAGTGACTGGTGTGGCAAGATAGGGAAAAACCCAATGCCATTGGGACCTTTCGCTGGGCACGAGGAAAGCTAATGATGCTGTTGTTGACTTCCTAGAGCGAGTATATTGGCAAACATGATGAGAGGCGAGCGTGGATTTCAGGCTTCTCGGGGACTGCAGGTAACAGCTGTTGCCCACTCTCGTCACTTCTGTTGTTAGACCTGACCTGATCATAGGAGACCTAGTATGGTCAGTTCCTCAGCAACCAGGACCACGGGCTGGTGTTCGTTCTCATTCTCCCTCCTGAACCCAGCACGTTTCCCAGGTCAAATATCTGATCCCCCCGTGGCCACACTTCTGCACAGGAGCTGGCCCTCCTGGCTTCCTTCCATCTTCTTCTGCCTCTGCCACAGTCAGGCCCACCGCCAGGCTCCTTGGACCTGGCTTCTGAAGCAATTGTTACTTCCACATCTCTTGACAAGAAACCTGCTCATCCTTTTACACAATAACTCATTTGGGATAAAGTTTTTACTTGAGAGGAGTTTTTTTTTCAGACAACATCACTCTACAAGGCCAAATGAGACAGAAATATGGACGTTCTTAATGCTGTCTTGTCTCGGGTTCTGCAGGGTCCTCCTATCCTGATCCCTTAACTAAAGGCAGTTTTCTTTGTTGATCCTCACACAGTCTTTCCTGAGCCTCAAGGTGCTCTGCCTCCCCCATTATGAGCCCTTACTCTCTCTACCACAGCTGTACTCGCCTTCCCCCCTCCCCAGCCCTCAGTTAGGCACCTAGTCGGATGTCCTTATCAGCCCCCACCTTTCCGGAGAACACTATGTGCAGCCTTAGCTCCATTGGGCTGGCAGAAACCAACCCAATTCTTTTCCTTACTCAACGTTTTACAGGCCCTCTATAGGGGCCTACAACACAAACCAGAGCTGGTTTGCCCGCAGCGCTCTCTCGGTAGGTTTCCCCCAAGCATGCCTCTTGAACATCTCTTACCTCTGTTCCTCCCAGTGGAGGAGAGAAGCTCATTCTAAAGGTCCCTGTGACAGAGCCGGTACTACACTACACACCCAACAAAGTCATGTCCCTCACTTTCATCTTCGCCCTCACCACTAGACTTCTCCACTCTGCTGCAGGTACTGCTGTGGTGACCATGAGGAAGGCAGCTGTCTGGACCGACAGTCGCTACTGGACTCAGGCCGAGAGGCAGATGGACTGCAACTGGGAACTCCATAGGGAAGGTAGAAGGCCCACATTGATTTGTGCCCCGAGCCCTGGACCCTAGACTAGGTTTGGGGGAAATACAGGTGAGTGGTTGTCTGCAAGGCCTACTTGGCCCCTGTGGGAGGTGCAGGACAAGGGAATCTCTGATCTTTGAGCAAATATAAAGAATGCATGTGGCAGAACAGTCGCGGACAGAAGTCTGGCTATGTGGTCTGATACTGGTCTGGGAAGTGACTTTTGTGCTCCCTCCCATCTTGTAGGTGACATTCCTTCCTGGGTCCTTGCTGAAGTCCCTGCTGAAGGACGAGTGGGTTTTGACCCCTTCCTCATGTCTGTTGGTATGTTTTTTTTCAGTCTCTAGATTTGTGTGAGCTGCCAAGGAGGATGGCTCAGCCTCCTGGGAGGTACACAAACCTATTTGCTTAGAAAGAGGTACAATATGGTCACAGGGTATCTTGAAGTTGTGCCTGTAGAAATATTTTACAACAAAGAAATATTCATGCATCGTGTAATTAAAATATGCCAAAAGAATGAATACAAACTTTACCAAGAAAGCAATGAATGCTGAAAGTCAACCTAGAAGACTTGGAATAATTAAGATCCACTGGGTAAATAAACATGTCTGGATGTCCTTGACCCCAGAATCATCCATGGGTCCTGGGACTCTACCAATTATGATATTTGGGATCTCTTAGAAAACATTTTCTGGAAGGTAGCTTAGAAGGGTAAAAAGTGTAGAGAGGATCTTTGAGAAAAACAGGATCCCATAGAAAATAGTTCCCCAAGTTCTGGGGCCCCAGACAGCTGGACAGCCCGTACCATCAAAGATAGACTTCATGAATAGACACTGAAACATCCAAGCTAACTTCTTTGTTGGCCCATCCAAAGCCCCAAACATTACCTTTCCTCCAGATGGTGACATTCATTTCTAATAAAAATGGTATGTACCTCAAAGGGACTGTCCCCAGTCACTGACTCTTTAAAAAAAAAACAACAGATTAGGGTTCTTGCCTAGCATCCACAAGGTCTTGGATTTGATCCCTAGTGCTGGAACTGGAAGTGGGGCCGAGAAGGGCAAGATTAGCAAGTTGACAGTGGACAGTATTGAGGTGGAGCAGGACCATTAGGTTTGGGAAGCAGGAAGAGACAGATGGAAGACGCGCTGAGAAGAAGAGCTATGCATTTCAGAGGACCCAGAGCCTAGGACAGGCTTTGGACAGCTCAAGCCATAGGAGCCAAGCAAAGGAGAGGCTGCAGGATTAACTCTGCTTCTATCAGTTTTCCTTGAGTTGTAAACGGACAAGGGGCTAGTGACACCTTCCTGTCTCTGCAGATTTCTGGGAGAATTTTGATCTGGAACTCCAAGGCTCCAAAAGATACCTGGTATCCATTACAACCAACCTTGTGGACCTGGCATGGGGGTCAGAGAGGCCCCCATTGCCAAGCCAACCTATTTATGCCCTGCCAGAAGAATTTACAGGTGATTCTATAAGCCTATTGTCCTCCCCTCCACCCCCGTACAAGGTCCCTCCCAGCATGGGTCCCCAGTGCTGCTGCCTGTGTTTTTCCCTGAAAATATCAGTAACCAAGGCAACAAAGTAATGGTTGACAAACTACCTGAGATACTTGGTTAAAATGTAGAATTTCTTTGTCTCTCTCCTCACAGAGTCCAAAGGTGCTCAGGCTATATTTAGAAAATACAGAAATGAGCAGTATTAGGGTTAGAAGGAAGAGGCGGCAGAAAGGGAGGAAAGGAAAGAGTTGAAGAAAGTTTGACAACAACAACAAAAAACCTTTCTTTTAAAATAAATTGTTTCAGGTTTTATTTTTTATTTGTTCGGTTTTTTTTTTTGAGACATCAGTAGGTTTTTTTATGTGTATAGATGCCTGCGTGTTGTCTGTGTATCGCGTGCATACAGAGCTTGTGGGGTTCAGAAAAGGGTGTCAGATTCCCTGGGACTGGAGTTACACATGATTGTATGTTGCCGTGTGTTGCTGGAAATCGAATCCTCATCCTCTTGAGAGAACAATCAGTACTCACACTGTTGAGCCCTCTTCAGCCATCACCCCACTCTGCCCCCTCCCCCCCAAAAAAAACTCCCTTAAGAAACAAGGCTCATGATTTTAGTTTATCTGGTAGTGGGAACTGATGGAGTCATTTGGCCCTTTGCTTCTGGTTCTACTCTAAGGAGAAATTTAGATTTAGGGCATGACTGACTTGGACAGAAGGAACAAATGAGTTCAATGTCAGCCTGCAGCACAGAAGAGGGTTTAGGTTTTGACTGGACCACAAAAGTAGGTTAATTGATCCAGAAAATTCTCACATCTGTAACTATGACCTCATTGGCACTATCTTAATCTGATATAAAAGATCAGTTTGCGTTACGATTTTTGTAAGCAATAACTAAATCCTGGCCAAGGCCAGGGGACTGATTATGAATCAGGATCTTGGTCACTAACTACTTTTTCCTCGTTGGAAATTCTGAATGGGCCAGTGGAGTTGCATTTCTCGTCACATTGGGCAATCTGAGAACCCCCTTTCCACATACAATCCCAGATATTACTTCTGATTTAGAGAGGAGTCAGGAAAGCAGGAGGGGAATTTCAAAATCATGGCTCTGACGAAACAAGCAGAAGCGCTGTCCAACTTCTTTCTGTGTAGCCGTGTACCGGCAGAACCATCTCTGCGCATGCCCTGGCTTAGTTCCAAATGAGCCTGACTAGCTATGAGCATTTGATCATAAAAACCACTCACCTTCCTCAGACATCAAAGACCACCATGGTGCCAGGGAAACGGGAGGATAAAGGGGCTTTGAAAAAAAGGCTCCCAGGGATTGGGACAGAAGTCACATGGATTTTGTCACTTGCCATAAGCTAGGAGATGCTAAGGCATCACTATTCTTCAAGGAAAAGTCACTTGGAGTCAGAGTTCAGCCCAGAAACCAAAGAACAGAGTTAAGTTTCAAGACCCCTAGACAAAAATTATTTTCCTCATTTCCACTACCAAATAAACAACGAAAATCATGGGCCTTTTCTCTTAAGAAAGTTTTTTTCGGGGGGGGGAGCAGAAATGGGGTGATGCCTGAAGAGGACTCAACAGCAAGAGTACTGGTTGCTTTTTCTAGAAGATGTGGAGATTCGAATTCCGGCACCCACAAGGCAACTCACAACCATGTGTAACTCCAGTCCCAGGGAATCTGACACCCTTTTCTGGACCCCACAGGCTCTGTATGCACGTGATACACAGACAACATGCAGACAAAGCATCCATACGCATACACAGTCGTGCTGACTATCATCTGGGTTACTCAAAGTCCCAGCTTTGACACCCAGAGTAGCGCTACTCTGTCCCCACAGGGCTGAGGGCTTTTTCCTCCGTGTGTAGGTTTTAAAGGTGGAGTGGGTAGGCAAAGGCAAAGAGTGGCACATGCAAAGCCAGCCACTCACACACCAGACCATTTATATGTGGTTTTGTTTTCTCAAAATGGATTGTATCTACACATCTTTCTTTTTGTGATTTATGAGTTGCTGGGTGGGGGGTGTTTGGTTTTATTTTGTTTTGGTTTTGAGACAGAGTCTCACTCTGCAGACTGACGCTAAGCTTACTCTGTTGCCTAAACTGGCCTCAAACTCACAGTGATGCTCCTGTCTCAGCCTCCCAAGTGCTAGGATTAGAGTCATGAGCCACAATACCAAGAAATGCTCATGAATTATCATCATAATTTGAAGTGAAAGGAGCCACATCTTGTATGATTCCATTCATATGAAACACCCAGCCTTGGCAACTCCATAGAGACAGAAAACAGATTAGAGTTCCTGGGGCTGGAAAGAGAGGAAATGGGGAGTGACTCCTTAATGGGTACAAGGTTTCCTTTGGGGATGCTGAGAATGTTTGAGAATTAGATACTGGCAACGGTTGCACAATACTCCAAATGGACTGAAAGCCAGCTGAATTGTGTACTTTATGGAGGCTAAAATGATAAATTTTATGTCTGTTTTATCAGACTAAAACAAACCTAAGAAGTATAAATACCCAAAGTTTTTGATTCTAGTTTAACCCATTTACAAAAAATTTTTAATAGCACTGTTATCATGTCTGTATCTGGGCCTAAGCAGGAGTCTTGATGCTTATGACATTCTGCCAATTTTTTCCCAATGCTGTCTAGAGAAAGACTTTATGTGCTTTGGAGAAGACAGACATAGGAGATGAAAAATGAACTCCTAGAACCCAGATAGATGCATACATTCTAGAAAGGACAGTACTGAACAAACTTTGAAGACCACTTAGAAGACTGAAGATGTTAATAGAAGAGTTTAGTATTTGTTCAGATTAGGACTGTGGGCCAGCCCCATCACACAGGCATGAGTTCAAATCTCAGCTCCACCCCTTCAGCAATGAAACTCTGGGCAAGCGCCTTTACCTCTCTGAAGCCTCACTTTTCTTATCTGGAAGATGATACCTGTAAGAATTCAAACGATGCCCAAGAAGACTTTCTGAACGTCGGAGTTGCCACAGGAAAGTCTTCTCTCCCTTTGCCTATCTAGAGCAGTTCTTCTGTTCCTTCTTTATGTTTATTAACAGGTCAAAAAAGCAGTGTGAGACTTAGCTAATGCCCTTCTTCAGCTTTATAAATGTCAATCCACTTGATCTGATTGTAGAAAACCAATTGAGGTAGATACTACTGTTACAATATACCCTCATCCAACAGATGTGCAAAATGAGGCACAGAGGTGTCAAGGAATTTGCCCAAGATCACACCCAGCTACTAAGTAGCAGGACAATTATTGGAGCCTCATCTGGGTCCAAGGTCCACGTCATTAATAATCCAACTGTTTGAAGATAGAATTCTACTGCTTTTGGAAACATAGCAAGCTGGAGTAGTTCAGTCATTGAGAACTGACCCAATGTTCAAGGCCATTGGTTCCATCTCCTCCACCATAAGTTAAAAAAAAAAAGGAAAACTACTACCCTTAGTGTATTTCCCAGGAGCCCTGGGCCAAAGATAAAGTGTGTCACTCATACTTTTTTGGGGGTTCCTTTGCTTCTAGGGAGCACTTGGCAGGAAAAAGTATCCACTGTCCGAAGCTACATGAAGAACCATACCATGGCTCCAACTGCTCTCCTTCTATCAGCACTCGATGAGACAGCCTGTGAGTGGGGATTTAGGAGTGCAAGTGGGTCCTGTAGTCTCAAGCATCCTCCTGGGCCTCGCAGCATACAGTTCTTTCTGAAACAGCAACATATTCACCATATGAGCTCCTCGGTCATGGACCATAGGAACTCAGAGGGGGAAGGGAGCAGCTTCTCAGGGCTGCAGAATAAGGAGGCCAAGGAGCTCCAAGCAAGTGGGGCAAGTCCATGGACCACCCGAGAAATGGACTGAGCAGAACAACACGATGATTCTGTCTCCTTAGGGGGAAGAAAGCCTGCAAAACCACCAGCAGCCCTGGCTGTCATCCGGGCCACTCAAAATCCCAGCTTTGACAGCCAGAGTAACCCTACTCTGTCCCCACGTGACTGAGGGCTTTCTGCTCAGTTCCTATGGTTGGGCTTCACACATTTGGAGGTTGTACTAATATTGCTTGCTGAATGTCACCTATCTACACTTTATGGGGGGAAGAAATCCATAGCTCTCTTCAGCATCTCAAAGATCTCTAAGAAGATTGAGAAGCAACCAGAGGCAAATGCCACAAGCATCTTGTGGCCAAAGCAAACAGTGGAACATAGTTGTCAGAAATGCCTGCCCCCATGAAGAATGGCCTCAAAAAGTCCCATCAATTCTTTGTTCCAGGGCTCTTCAACCTTCGTAGCAGTGACATCCCCTATAACCCCTTCTTCTACTCCTACACGCTGCTCACGGACTCGTCTATCAGGTAGCTTCTTCTCGACTTCCTGTTGTGAATTTCCTCCAACCTCCACTCTATCCGATACCTCTGGCCTCACAACCTTCAGGAGCTCATGAGCCTGGGTACCTGCCACAGAGCAGACTTCTTTGGGAGACCCCCCACTGGCTGTTCTTAACCCCTTGACTTTGCGCTCCCTCTGCTGACTTGCTGGGACCTTTGGAATCAAAGGGCTGATATATGCCTCTGGTTCCTTGTGTTGTCCTTGGTAGGGAGGCACTCAGGACCCTCCCCATCTTCCTTCTCCACCCAGGTTGTTTGTCAACAAGAGTCGCCTTAGCCTCGAGACCCTACAATACCTGAATACAAACTGCACATCCTCCATGTGTGTACAGCTGGAGGACTACAGTCAAGTTCGTGACAGTGTGAAAGCCTATGCCTCAGGCGATGTGATGATCTTGATTAGTATCGAATATACTAACTATGGGCTCTATGAAGTCATACCCAAGGTAGGTTTGCCAGTCACTGGCCTCCTTCTGTTCTAGGCATGGCAACTGTCAACTTAAAATGGGGTCCCTCAGCCATTGGGCCAGCTAGCCAGTCAGCAAATGTGCGCGGCATACCCTTGTAGGCCTCACTGACAGAAGGCTGAGGAAGAGGAGGGCGATGAGGAGGCAGGGGTGTCTGTCCGCAGAGCCTGTACAGCTGCAGAAGGTAGACAAAGGACAGCCTGATCTAGAAGAAGCTTTAGACTCAGCCAAACTTGATACTACCCGGAGCTTTTTTCCTAAGCGGCCATGCAGAGACCTTAGATAAGTGGCTCATTCAGCCCAGATCTCTGTTTCTTTAAAAATAGCCATGGAGTTGAGCACTTGTGGGAGTTGCTGTGTGCATTCAAGGAGATAGTACTTGTGTCGTCCAGGACTGACATAGTACGTGCTTGGGATCTGGTAACCACTCTGATACATACAATGCACTTCCGCTGCTAGAACAATCCTTGAACTGCAGCATGCCTGCTGGTACCAGGACAGTATTCATCAAGGAAACCTACATGTGAAAGATGAGGGAAGACCTACATAGCCACAAAGTAGCCCAAGGAGAGGGCAAGGCCATGAAAGACATTAGCTTGTCTCACAGGCTTGCCCCAGCTGGCTCCTCTCTGTCCCTTGGAAACACTGCTTATCCCAGGTGGTGCTTCTAGTCCATCTTTTGGCCCTTGCTTCCAACAGGAGAAAGTCGTGATAAACATGTACACCCCAGTAATGGGAATAAAGGCTGTGAAGAACAGCAAGGAGCAGGCTCTCCTGAAGGCCAGTCATGTAAGTATCCATGGCATGGGCCTTTTGGGAGGTCTGTCTGATGGGTTAACCTTCCAGAGAAAAGCCTCTCAGTGAAAGCAAGGAGCACCCAACAAATATCTATATATATATATATCTATATAGATGTGCTGATATTAAATGTGGTGACGCGCATTGCTTTGAACACTGCCTGTGCTAAATCAGTGCTAGCTGTAATGATTTCCTGCCTGGCAAGAGGATAGCTCACTTTTCAGAATGCTCTTAACGTTAGGATCAAAGCCCTCATTTTGAAAGATTTTTTCTTAAGGAAAAATTTTAACATACACTACAGTAGAGAAAATAGCCTAAGAGTCCCCATTACCCAGCTTCAACAACCATCAAATCCTGCCCAGCGCTGTTTCATCTGTAAACACCCCTCTCCCGTGCATCACCCTCCCCTCCCACCCCTTGCTGCTGGATTATTTTAAAACAAATCCCACATATCCTATCTTTGCGGCAGCCAGCGCTTCAGTAAGTATTTCTAAAGATAAGAACGCTTTTAAAAACATGAGCACACTCTGATTAGATATAAACATTAACGAGAATCCTTCCCTATCCAGTAGCCAGTGAAATTGTCCTGGTTTAAAGCCCTCAATCCCCAGGCAGCTATCTGATCTTCTTCCCTGAGTGAGGAGACAGCCACCGTGGCCCGCTTCAGTCACTGTTGTGTTTCCTGCTTCAGGTGCGGGATGCTGTGGTTGTGATCCAGTACTTGGTCTGGTTGGAGAAGAACGTGCCCAAAGGCACGGTGGATGAGTTTTCTGGGGCAGAATACATTGATGACTTGCGACGGTACAGGACTTATTATCTTTTGGTGCACGGGGGTAGGGAAGTGAGGAGTAATTAGTCCCCTTTGGAGGAAGAAAGATCCTGCTTGTATTTGGAAGTGAGATTGACAGGTTCATGGGTGGTCTGGGAGCTGTGCAGGGGGTGTTGGAAGACATTTCCCAGCCCTGCTGAAAGCGGGACAACCCAACAGCACCCCCTAGCGACTGCCTCAGACGCAGCTTGCTCGTCCTACGAAAGGCTGGCCTGGAGGGGGCAGGGCTGGAGCTCTTGGGAGCTTCGAGTAAGGAGAAGGCTTCCTGAGGTAGCTTGTGGTACCATCTAGGTTTGAGGCACAAGACATAGCACACGGATAGGATGTTTTTCACATACAGGGAACTACCTCTTTCGTAAGTAAAATGGAGGCAGAGGGCCAAGAATTGGTATCCATGATTTTTCTCTTCCCTGCACTTGAATGTTCTCTCTGTGTCGCAGGACAGAGCTTGGAGTCAGATGGAGTCAGGCTGTGATGAAGGGAGCTGGGTCTTCTTTTGCTGTATAAGCTATCCCAATCACAGCTTAGGCCCAGGATCATTCTCTGCTCATTCTTCACATTGCCCTGCCTAGGAAAGAAAACTTCTCCTCTGGACCCAGTTTTGAAACCATCTCTGCTAGTGGCCTGAATGCTGCCCTGGCCCATTACAGGTACTTGAGAACAAAGAATTTTCTAGAGTACTTGTGAGCAGGGGTCGTGATTGTGAGCACAGAGAGACTGGGGTGGGAAGGAGGTACTCTGACCTCTGGGTCAACACTTAGGGTTTGGGGGCTTCAGGACTGTGGGTGGTCAAGGAAGGAACTGCTTCGGTGTTCGGAATCTCCTTAAATTTAAAAGGCCGGAGTGTGACTTTTGTCCCTAAAAGGCTGGGACTTGGGAAGGGCCAGTGCTCTGAGGTCTTTAAGGTTTAAGGAAAGCATACATGCTGCTAGGAGCTTTTTTGCTTTCTTTCTTTTTGTGAGTTATTTCTGTTATCCCTTTGTCTGAGATAGTTTTATTGCTTTTTGTTTTGAGACAAGGTCTAACGTAGCCCAGGCTAGCCTCAAACTCTCTATGTAGTCAAGATTGGATCTTACCACCTGGTCTTCCTGCCTCTGTCTCTTTAAGTGCTGGATTGCAGGTGTACACCGCCACTACTAGCTGGAGGCGGGGTTTTGCTTTGTAGCTCAGGCTGGCCAGTAACTTATAATCCTCCTGGGTGACCTCTGTGATTGCAGCCATGATTAATACCACATAAGACCCCACAGAAAAAGGCCTGTCCACTTAACTTCCACCAACCATAGTGAGTCCAAAAGATTAAATTAGTCTGAATACTTGGTCCCATAGAAAGCAAACCATGGTAGGCCTGCCTGATTAAAGCATGGAGGGCCAAGGTGACCAGATGCATCAGGTGGGCCTGGGCATGACAGAAAAGGGGTCAGATACCCTCTAGAGAAAGACCTAGCGTGCCTGCGAATTCCCTTCCCTGCTGCTGTCTCCCAAGCTTTGCCCATGGAAGCCAGAGAGTGGCAGAGTAGGCATACCTCAGTCCTCTAAAACACTGCTCTCCAATCCTATCGTTGAAGTTCCCTCTCTTCCTGTCCCCTTGCTCCTTGGGGCCCTCTTGGATACATCAAGAAGTTAGAGAGAAAGAGAGCTCAGGCCCAGCACCTCTCTGCTTTGCTGAGGGCCTTCTGCAAGTCTCTTGCCTCTGTTGGGCTTGTTCTATTGTGAACAGAGATGGCGGAGCCACATAGCCTCTGAGACCCTTAGCTCTCGGTCCCTGGGGACCCAGGACTTGCTTGACCACTTGCTGGACAAATAAATGTGGTTGAGGACAGCAGCTGCATTCGGAGCCAAGTGCTTTCCCGGGGTCCTTTGGGAGACAGTTATTTCCCCAGAGCAGAGAGCCTGGAGGCTCCCAAGTGGGGAAGGAGTTCTTCTGTTTCTCCTAATTCCCCATCCTTGCGTTCACCCTGTTTGTCCAGTGCAGCGTTCAGATTCTCCCCTCTCAGTGTTCATTCTCATCCCCAGCCCAACCAAAGAGGTGAACCACAAGCTGTCCTCAGATGAGATGTATCTGGTGGATTCTGGAGGGCAATACTGGTACGTACACTCCATTATACCTGGCTCTCAACTCAGACATCCTGGGCTTCCAGGGGCTGCCTAAAGCTGGCTTTTCTGCGCCATAGGTCTTCATTTGATTAAAAACATGGACCTGCATTGAATGAGACCTGAGCAACCTCCTCACATCCCCCCTGGGGGTGTCTGCACAGTAGAAAATACACAGAGATCAGAATAATGGGGGCACTCATGCAGCACCTGTGTGGGAATTAGCAAAAGACTCTACTTGCTTAAGTCCTTTTTGTTTCAAGTCGGCAAACCAGTTGCGCAAATCTGCCTGGCTGCACCGACATGAATATCCATTTTCTCACCCACTCATGCAAGTCCGAGACTCAGCCTGCATCAGGGTCATTGGCTCCATCCCATTCCCAGTGGCAACATGAGTGGCCATCTGAGGTTGGAGATGGAGGTCGATGACAGAAGTAAACCCTTTAGCTGTGATTCTCTTGTCCACCGTCAACCTATACAGTTCGATGTGGTGGTCATACTGAATAAGCTACGTTTCCCTTCAAAATGTGTGGCTAAGCACTCGATTGCATCGGGTTTCTACCTTGTGGGAAGAACGAATGCACTGAGGACGGAGGCTCTTGTTTATCACACAGCTCTTGGGGAGCCAGCTCGCCATGTGCTCAGCGTAGCAGCCCGTATTTATCTCTAGTTTGATGCTGTGTGAACTTGAGGTGGCCGCAAAGAGGAAGTAAATTTGTGGGGGCGTATTGGGTTGGCGCATGCTCGGAAGAGGGTAAGGTAGGGAAATAGTCACCTCACTTCCTCTTCTCTCCTGAGGAAGAAGCTCCCCCACGCCCCATGACCTATTCTCAAGAAACCCCAGAGCCCTGGGATGGGTATGCTTAGCGGCAGCCTGGGGAAAGCACTAGAACTAGTGATTGGAAGTTGGACCTGCTAGCTCTGGCTTCACTTCTATGGAATTCCGAGCCATGTTCATAGCAAAGAGCATCTTGGGAGGCATCAGCATTTTCCCCAGCCTGGCTTTACCAAATCTTGGAAAGGGAGATGGTCTCACAGCTTAATGACTAAAGTGAGGTCATCTTTACTAAGGAGACCGGCTCAGCTGTCCTCTGGAGAGTGGCAGAAGTGTCCTAGAGATGACAAATGGCAGTGATCGTGGGAGTGTTAGGATAATGTCTCTTCTCTGAACCTCAGTCTCCCCATCTGTAATTTATAAAAAAAAAAAAAAAAAAAGAGAGAGCTCGCTAAAGAACATAGATCTTTTACCTTAAGAACTCTGCTAAGTCTCTGTGGTGCATGGATGCTGAGGTATGATTCTGATGGTGGTGCCTATTCTCCCTCCCCACTCTCTTCCAGCCAGCCTTCTTGCTTTCCAACATGATCTTACTGTGCGACCCAGGCTGGCTTTCCATCGCAGCCTTCCTACCTCAACCTCCTGTATGCTGGGATTACTAGCATGTACCACCGATTCTGGTTCTCTATCTTCCTTTTGCTTCCCACCATGTCCTATTCCAGCCCGAGCCCTCAAACCCCAGTAGAAACTACACGGGAAGCACGTGACCCTTGCCCCTCCTCATGAGTGCTCAGTAGAATCGGATGTGTTAGTTCCCTTTCTCCACAGGGATGGGACCACAGATATCACCAGAACAGTACATTGGGGAACCCCTACTGCCTTCCAAAAGGTAAGTACTGGATCCCAATTTCTCTCTACAGTTTCCCCCAAGTGATCACTTCAAGAGCCTTTTCAAATTGAGGGAGTAAAAACTGAGGCTCAGAGAGGTTATGTAATTTGTCCAAGGTCACACAACAAGTTCCAGAAAAGCTGGTGCAAAGTTGGGGCCACCACCAAGTTCTCAGGCCATACATATCTTCTTGTCATGTTAATTCATGAGTGCACAGATGTTGGCTGGCTGTGTGTTTAGCCTGCACTCTCCAAAAGGGCAGGAAAGCTATCTCTAATGGAGGAAAATGGCGGAGGACCCCTCGGAGGAGCTAGAGCAGGTCTGAAAACAGCTGTGGAACCTGGGACAGTGGCTGGGGCGGATGGGCCAGGGAGCTGCTTACCTGCAGCCAGCAGGCTGGGAACAGAGAGGAGAAAGGCCTGTTGCACATGCCGCCAGTAGCTCATCGGCTAGCGTGTTGAAGAGTCTGCTTCTTCAGAGCCCTAGATGGCAAGCCAGTGCGGGAGTATGGGGAAAGGAAGTGACCACATGGCCACTAGTAGTGATCAGAACAGGTCACCATAGCCCATCTGTCTCCCCCAACAGGAAGCCTACCCTGTCACATGATCAGGCTCAACCCAACCTTTAGGCCTTAGGAAAACTAAGGAAAGTTGCTTAGACTTGGTGGTACATACTGGGGAGGTAGAGAGACAGGAAAAATTGACTGTTCAAAGCCAACCTTGGCTACATAGAAAATTGAAAGTATCCTGTGAGGGATACAGGAGTAACCAGGCTAACTGCTTGAGCATTTGCCCATTGCCATATACTCATTGTCAGCCTCCTTCATCCTACAGCTTCAGGAACCGGGTACCATTAGCATACTATTAAATATGCGGAGATGAAGGTACAAAGAAGAGAGAGAGCCAGACACAATGGTGCATGCCCTTAATCCCAGCACTCCAGAGACAGATGCAGACAGATTTCTGAGTTCGAGGCCAGCCTGGTCAACAGAGCGAGTTCCAGGACAGCCAGAGCTGAACAGAGAAACCCTATCTCAAAGGAGAGAGAGAGAGAGAGAGAGAGAGAGAGAGAGAGAGAGAGAGAGAAAGAGAAGAGAGAGTCTATGAGTGGCCAAGCCATAATTCCAGACTTGATGAAACAGACCTGCCTGCCACCCACTCAGTCACTCCCTCTCTGAGCATGTCTTCAGCACATGGGAATGACTCCGTACATCAGCCTAAGAGAAACATATGGAGTTGGCCCCAGCTTTGGGAACACCTTCCTCCCTCACCTTCCTTTTGGTCATCTTCCAAAATCTGGGTGACTACACAAGAGAATGTCTCCTGTTCCTGGGCCTGGGCCTCCATTCTCACCTGCTCCCAGACCAAGCAGCTGGGAGCTCCCTGGCTCCTCCTCTCGTCCTCCACAGCACCTCTTCCTGCTCTCTCCTCACCAGGAGGCATATACACGTGTGCTGATGGGAAACATAGATCTGTCCAGAATCATCTTTCCTGCTAATACACCAGGTAGGTTTCAGAAACCAGACTGGACCCCAGACCCTCCAGGCAGGCCCTGAGTTTATGGGATTCAGATGGCTACCCTAGGAGGCTATGGAACACCCCATCCCTCCCACATAAATGAGAAAATCTAGCCAAGAGAGAGGACTTACCCAGGGTCCTTCATAGGATTAGTGGGAGCACTGGGCCTAGCACCCAGGCCTCCTGCCTCTTAATCCAGTGCTGTCACTCAGAGGCAGGGGAAGTCAGGGTGAGCTTCAGGAATCATATCCAGTTCTTGGAGGAAGTCGTAAGTGCTCAGGCCTAACTCATGAGGAGACATATCAGTAGACAGTCAGTCCAGGTGATGAGTTCAGTGTACAGAGTGCTAGAGATAGTGAGGGGTCAGGCTGGGCTGCTCTGGAGACACTGGCTTCATCCATCAGCCCTTCTCCATCCCACCTCAGTGTCCTCTCCAGAGCCCTTTTCCTCAGGTACCACCCTAGAAGTTGAGTAGGAAAGGCCACGGTGGACAGTCTAAGGTCCAACCAATAGTCCAGAAGCAACCTCTTTTCTCTTTCAGGGAGAATATTGGACGCTTTAGCTCGAAAAGCCTTGTGGGAAGTTGGTCTCAATTATGGTCATGGGACAGGTCATGGCATTGGCAACTTCCTTTGTGTGCATGAGTGTAAGTATCTTCTCAGCTATACTTGATTGGATCATTTCCTAGGAGATAGAGCCTTCCATAGCATGGAAATTACCAACCCAACAGAGATGCATGACCCACCCATGTCACCCTGGTGGGAATGATGCTCCAAAGGCTAAATGAAGAATATTGCCTATGGACATTCCAGAGAGAGAACCAAGGTCTGCTGACTAAATGGCATATACCCCAGGGAAATAAAAGGCCAAGCCTATCTGGAATATGCCAGTTCCAAATGTGACAAGTGCTTCCAGACGTACCCAGGAAGCCTCCCTCCAGTTACCTGTTCTCCCCAGTACCTGCTCACTTCCAAGCTGGTGACACATAGAGCTGAAACCATATTTCTATCTTCCTTCCCAGGGCCAGTGGGATTCCAGTCTAACAACATCAACATGAACAAGGGCATGTTCACTTCCATTGGTACGGTTCTCGAGTCCTCCCACCCCACTACCCCATCCCAGAGTGAAGCAATTTGGGGGAATGAAGTTCATATGCACCCATCTTTAGGGACCACGCGCTGAGCATAAGCTTAGCCCCAGCTCTATCGCTACTTTCTTTCCTAAATCTAGACCCAAATGGCTATCACATCTTTACTCCAAGCTTGCTCTGCCCCATACCCTTGGTTTAGACCATGTTATGCAACACAAAGCTGTCCCTGAACTCATCCTATAGCCAAAGCTGGCCTTAAGTTCCTGATCTCTTATTTCCACTTCTCCCAGTACTAGGATTACAAGCATGTGTCACCCCTTCTGGATTTTCATAATTCTCTTTTTGTCCTTGGGAAATGGCTTCCTGGTATACCCCCATACTATGGGGCTGTCCATCAAGTGCTGGAGTGGTAGGACAAGGTCCCACACAGTGGGATCTTTGGTCTTTCCTGTTAGATGACAAGGGAGGGAGGGTGAGACCAAGTTATACCTGAGATGATCTGAGGCCCAGCATCTAACACATTGTGGGACTGACAGAGCCAAAGCCACGGGCAACCAGGCCACCAGGCTCTGCAGTTACTTGAAAATTGGTGCAGGCAACCTGGGCGTGGGTCCCTCTCACCCATTGCTTAATGTCATTAGCATCTCTGTGTGTCTCTCTCAGAACCTGGATACTACCAGGATGGGGAGTTTGGAATCCGTCTTGAAGATGTGGCTCTTGTGGTAGAAGCAAAGACCAAGGTAAAGTGCCATGGGCCAGACACATATGGACAGCTTGTCTCTGGGAGCGATGGAGAGGAATGGGAATAAGGAAGGCCAAAGGAGAAGGGCATTTGATGTACAAGTATGAATCTATCTAAAGTCTTTCTTGGCTCCTTAAGAATTCTATAAATCTGCTTCTCAGGCTGCACATTGGAATCATCTGGGAATCTGTTTTTTTGTCTTTTTAGATATCAGTGCCAGGCCTCACTCCAGACCAAGCGAATCAGTATCCCTGTCCTAAATCACTGGCTCTCAGTGCACATAATAATCACCAGGGGAGCTTGTTAGAAATAAGGATTTGATATTATAGCAACTAACAAGATGAAATACCTGGATATAAACTTTAAAAGACTTACACAGAGAAACTCTGCTAAGGGACATAAAAAAGATTTAAGTAAATGGCGCTCTCTGGGAAGCAGTCTTGATATTATGAACAAACCATTCTCCCTAAATTAATCTATAAATCCAAGACAACCTCGATTTCAGTGTTAAGTGGATAGTTTTGTGACTTCACAAGTAGAGTTTATTTGTGAAAATAAATATGCAAAATAGCTAGGTAGCTAGGGGAAAAACTGAAAGCTTGAGGAGCAATAAGGCAAACTAGCCCTGCCCAATCCTACCATAAACTAACCCGACAAAAACAAGTTGGGGCTGGAGATGAAACAGACAGCAGGAATAATGAAACAAAACAGCCAGCCCAGAAATAAACCTCTAATTCACATAAACATGGAGCGTTAGTTGATGCTTCACCACGGGAGGGAAGAGAGAAATCACTCCACAAATAGGCAAGGGAATAAGTGATTGATCATTGTGGAGAGTAAACAAAATAACATCATGGTTATAGCAAATAAAACCCCAGATGGACCAAAGAGGTTTTGTTATCACACAGCCATTGCATGAAATCGGAGGTATCATGTACTTTGATCAGCTCCCTCCTCCTGCTTGCTGCCAGATGAACTGAAGTCTTATGGTGAACAATAGAATCACTAAGGCCCAGAAGGAAACCTATGTGAATTCACTTATAATCCTGAGTGGAAAAGGATCTTTCTTTAAAAGACCCAGAAGTGATTGGGGGGAAAGGTTCATAGCTAAGTTAAATAGAAAATGTCTGTATGAAAATCATAGCATAACCAAAATCAAAAGTCCTGTTTCGAGTATAATATGTGCAACAAAGAAAAGATAAATATCCTTAATTTTACTGTGAACTCCTACAAGATCAAAACTGGGTGGCAAGGGCAACGGACACGAAGAGACACTTCAACAAAACAAACAACAATCTAATGCATGTGAAAAGATGCCCAACTGCATCCTTAAATGTGTATAAATCTAAGCAGCAATAGAATAGCATATCATTCCCCTGGGTATACTACTAAGTAAAAGAGGAGGAAGGAACAAAGAAGTATTGTATGGTAGGATCCAAATTGTGTGACTCCTTAAAACTTGCATTTAAGTTACATACAATCACCAGGTTAGTAGAAATTAGAGGCTTTGATAATACCCAGTGCTGGTGAGTATGTGGTACAATGAACACCCTCATTCTCTGTTGAGAGTATATGTTGGTGCAAACTTGGTGGAGGATAGTGTAACGATATCTGTCAAAATGCCCATCAATGTTTCTGTGCCTGTGTCTCAGCTGTCCCTCCACCAGATATGAAACATCTAGATATAGTCCCAAAAGTTCATCAAGATGTTTATATATATATCTCCCAAACCCATGACTGGTTAAGTAAATCAGGATATATCCCCATACTTAAGACTTTTATACATCCATTTTTTAAAAAAATGAAGTAGATCTTAGGGCTGGAGAGATGACTTAGCAGTTAAGAGTATTTGCTGCTACAATAGAGTGCCCAGGCTCAGTTCCCAGCATCCATATGGACGTTCATAACCATCTGGGATTCTAGTTCCTTGGGCTCTTATATCCTCTTCTGGCATCTGTGGGCACTGTGATGTGACTCGGTTATAGTCCTGGGTTTGATCCTCAGTGCCAAATGAATTGGACCTTCTGGCTGGCACATTCCTACTATCCTACTAAGGAGTTAGAGGGAGAAGGATCAAAAGTTCAAGGTCAGATTCTGCTATGCTATGTAGTGAGTTTGAAGACAGCCTAGGCAAGAGGAGACCCTATCTAGAAAGATGGGAGGAGAGAGAAAGAGGTAGGTAGATAGATACCAAGTAACAGTAATAGATTGTTTAAACATTTAAACATAGGTTCCAAGGCCCTTAGAGATTCTACCTCCAGTGGGTGTTGGAAGTTGTCCTTGCAACCCAAATATTTAATGTGCTCCCTGTACACTGGTGATGCCCACAGTTTGAGAATCAGACAAGAGTCTAATCTAAATTTCAAGAACCAGGAAGGAAACAGTGAAGCAGGGTGCTGAGTAGTGGACAAGAGGACTAGCCAAGGGAAGGGACTCTGGAAGGCTCAAACCAAGCTGCAGTCTCCCAAGTTGGCAAGGATCAGTTTCCTGCACCCCTGGCTTCTGAGTGCAGTGTTCCCTTGCTGTCGTCAGCCGGTCTTTCAAGCATCCTGATTTCTGGCTTGCTCACCTTCTCTATGGACTTTCAGTACCCAGGGGCCTACCTGACTTTTGAAGTGGTGTCCTTTGTACCCTATGACCGAAACCTCATCGATGTCAGCCTGCTATCCCCGGAGCACGTAAGTGTCGTTAGTGCTGCTTGATCTTCAGGCAGCTGTCTAGGCCTTTCTTGCCTCTCTTCTCCCTACTCCAAGGACTTCTGCCCTTTGCCAGGAAGATCTACATTGTGGCACCTTAGATACACACTGGAGGCATATCTTCTCAGCCTGTCGGAGATCCCAAACCTTCTAGGACCTTCTAGTCAGATCAGCATGCCCCAACTCAGTAAACCCCTAGGGACCCTGGGACTGGGCTTTTGAGCTCTGCCACCAAAAGGCATAGAATGATATTCAGTTCCTTCACCACTCTGGGCCCCTGCCTCCTCTTTTGTAAAATGGGGATAACTACTCTCCTTCCTTTCTACTCCTGTGCCAGGCAAGAGCATCACTGTACTATTAAGTAATCGCCATGGAGCACAGTCTCTGGAAAGCTCCAGAAAAATAGCAAAGGCCTTAAAAGTGGTCGGGACCCTAGTCCATCTGGTACCATAGCAGGGGACCAGATGGTACCAAGGCCTCATCTCTTGGCAGCTTAGCTCAAACCCACTTCCCTTTGCAGCTCCAGTACCTGAATCGCTATTACCAGACCATTCGTGAGAAGGTTGGCCCAGAACTGCAGCGTCGCCAGCTGCTGGAGGAGCTTGCATGGCTGGAGGAGCACACAAAACCCCTATCAGCCATGGCCCCACGTACCACCTCCTTGGCCTCTTTGTGGGTAGCCTCCACTCTTGCCATCCTCAGCTGGAGTAACTAGAGGCCCTCGGTTCTCCTACCGACTGTTCACTTAAGTTTAGGATTCGTTTGCTCTTGCTTAGCTATCCTTCCTCTGTGCCACGCGTGCCCCAAGAGCCCCCAAGGCTCATCACCTTGAAGTCACTATCCTAAGCTTTCTCCAGAGCCAAACCCCTGGCAGCTTTACTTTCTCCCAGATGGGCAAGCCTCATCGTGGACTCCCCACCCCTGGGCCCCAGGATAGCCTGCTACAGTGAGTCCCTGTCTCCCAAAGCTAAGGACCCTACAAACTAATGCCCCTATTCACAGGGATCCCTGGCCCAGAGGGGCCCATCCTATCCCCACCTGCTAGAGAGGGCCAGAGCTGTTCCCACCCACACTGACTCTAGACTTTTTAGGAGTGCCTCTGGCCACCTTTCTTTCCCTCCAGCCTTAAAGTGGCCTCCTGGCTAGAGACTGTAGAATTAATATGGGGACTCACAGCTGCCCGCTATCCCTACAGAAGGAGGTGGCTGGGTGTTCTGGTTGCAGACTGCTGCTTTAGCACGAGAGAGAACAGATAAGCGGAAGTCATCCGTGGCCTGGACCTGGAGACCTCAGTCGGGAACGTGCATCACTCCTTGCCCCACATGTGAACCCACAGCTCCTAAACCACCAATGTGCTCCTTGACAAGTGACCGCATAGGGACGCAAGGGATAGGACTTTGACTGTGAAGTAAGCAAGCTGGACAAAGGTGCTCTGTGATGTGGGGATCAACCTGGGCAGCCACACTATCCCAGACACCTCTGGCACTCAGTGGGCATTTTAATCTTCTAAGGTGTCACCACCACGACCATGCTATTAAAGCCTCCCGTGTCTTTGAAGCACTCCTAACCCTGTGTGGGCAGACTTTGATTTCCCCATTTTATAAACAGGAGGCGTGGCCCGCCTGAAGAGACTCAGCACTTGGTTAGGAGATGGGGTTATGAGATGGCGGGGCCAGATGGGCTGGTGTTCCAGTTCCTTTAGCCATCAGCACCGTGCCTGGACTCTTAGCCAGCATCTCAGCCACTGCTTCATTTTCTGAAGCCACTGCCATCAGGGTCTTCTCTGGCCTGGCCCTGACTAGCCGTTAGCCACCTGGGCTCACATCCTGCTAGATGCTTAAAACAACTTTGCAAAGATGCCTGCCTCTGGTTTTGCATTGTGTTTGCTGTTGCTGTGTTGGAGGAGGCTGCTGGTACCTGTGGCTTTTGTGGTGGGAGAGGAAGAGAAGAGGCTAAGGTGGGGGCAGGGATGTGAGGCTCCCACAGTCTCAGTAGGGAAACACGTGGGCTTGAGAATGTGCTCGTGAGCATGCGTGCTAGTGTGTGTGTGTGTGCGTGCTTCTGCTCGTGTGCATGCGCTCTGTGCCCAGCCAGCTACCTCCAACCTGTATGAAGGTTGCTGCGACATGATGAAGGGGACAGAGATGGGTTCATCGCTCTTGAGAACTTGTTAAGTGCGGTCCATAAAAGTTGGAGCAACTCTTTTGTCTCAAGGGAACACACTGAAGATGAGAACCAAGGTTCGACGAAGGCAACAGGCTGAGAGTTTGCCAGGACTGGGCCAACCAGACCTAAGTCTCCAAGTGTGAAAATGATGTACAGAGGGCAGGGCGGTGTCTCAGTGCATAAAGCACTTGCTACACAAGTGTGAGGATCAGAGCTCCTAACCCTAGAAACTCCTATAAATCCTGGGTGGGTGTAGAGGCCTCCCTATAACTAGTCTCCCAAGGTGGAAACAGGGCCTCCCCAGAGCAAGCTGGCTAGCAAGACTAGCCATATTGACAAACTTGGTTTACCAAGAAACCCTACCTTGATGAATAAGATAGAAGAGCCATAGATGATTTCCAGTATAAACCTCCTGCCTTGACATGGGCATACAAACACAAGCAAAAACATATGTACACACACACATAAAAAAATTATGTGACCACCCAAATTTACTTCCAAAGGCCTCAGACATGTCCTGCCCTCGCTGAGAAGCCTGGCATGGGTGGGGCTGTTTGAGGTGTCACTTGGCCTCTGAGAGCGCCTTACTAAGAAGTAAGGTCACCATCACCATCGCCACCACGTTCTGTACCATTGTGCAGAAAGCTTTGTGCCAATTGTCTCGTTTTTTTATCTTCCCAAGCTATGAGAAGGTCTTGGTATCATTCTCATTTTCAATGTGAGGAAAGTGAGTGGGGCATTTAGAGCCGGAGAGAAAGCAACTTGCTCGAGGTGGTTTTTCTATCAAGCTGGGGAATAAAACAGAATTCAAACCAATCAGACGGCTCAAGGACCTGCTCTCTGAAAAGAACATGACTCCTCCCACTTTCCAAAGGAGAAAACAGGCTCCACTGGGCTCACACAGCTGAGAAGCAAATTCCATACCACCCAGTTTCTCAGGGCCTGCCTGCCCAGGCCTGTCCTGTATGTCCTGACGCTTGTGACCAAGCCCCCCCCTCCCCGCCCCTGCTAGTCATTCGGGCCAAAACCTAGATCTCCACCTGCTTTTGCCGTTTAGCATCCCTGCACCCCCATCTAAGTCCCACATCAGCCCAGCTCCTTCCTTCCTTGGGACTTGGAAGGCTGGCCCCAGCTGTTCCTGGTTAAGAGCCTCCCTGAGGGTCAGAGAGACACTGATATGTATCAGTTAAGACTGGGACCTGGAGGAGCTCCTGTGACATCATTAGGAATTGGAGAGAGCTTGCTCCCCCTTGGGCTCTAGTCCTGTTTTCACACCAGAGCGGGCAGCCTTCCCCGGTTCTTTTGGCCTTATTGCTGCTGTGGAGCTGGCCAGATGGAAAGGCCCCTCCCTGTCCCTAGGGGTTAGGTTTCTAGGATTCTAGCCTTAGGGTAGCAGCTGTGTGGCCCTGGGCAAGTCAGCTCTCTAGTCTTTGGTTATCAGTTCTGTAAACTACCCAAGCAGGCTTCCTGGAGCTGGAGAGGTTGTAGAGAACTGGCCCTGTAAGACCCGGATGTGGCATTATTCTGTAAATCAGGAAGCTACACAGACAAAAGAAAATAATGCTGTTATTCACCTAGCACAAACTACCTTCAGAGGTGGATGGGAAAACAATTTATTTTAGGCCCACATTACCTTCCTCCCTCCTTCCCGCCCACTCCCCTCTTTCTGAAAAAGTTGTTGGGGCTAGCTTCTAATTTGGCTTTTTCTAACTATGCTCCCTAGAGCCCGAGTTTCCTTAGAAACGCTGCAGGGCCTGTCACAAAAAGCTGAGCTCCAGCCGCAAGTAGACCTCCTGGGCTTTCCACACAGACTGTGCTTGAAGAAGTTGAAGGGTCAGCTTAGCAGTGGAGTGACCCGGGCGTTCCTTCAGGGGCTGGTGCTCAGAGTGGCCTCAAGCTGGGTTTAATGGTCTCTTCCCAGCCGTCTGTCTCACAGTTCTTTCCTTCCTTGCTTGCTTTTTTGTTTTTTGCTTATCTGTCCACTCGTTTTTGGTTTGGGTTTTGTTTTCTGAGATGGAGTCTCCTGTAATCCAGGACGGCTTCCAACTCACTACGTAGCAGAAGCAGGCCTTGCTTGTTTCTCTGTCTTAATCCTTTTGAAAAAGAGCCCTGCATTTCCAGTTTGCACCCAAACCTGCAAGTTCCATATTCAGAGCAAAGAGAGAAAAGGACATACCCAAGGTCATACAATCTGCCAGGAGCAAGTATTACACCCCAGACATTCTGCTTCGGCTCTGGGGTGACTCCTCTCCCTCTCTCTCACTTTCTTTCTTTCTTTCTTTTTTTCTTTCTTTCTTTCTTTCTTTCTTTCTTTCTTTCTCTTTTCTTTGTATAAAAGAAAGCATTTAACTGAGGGCTGGCTTACAGTTTCAAAGGCTTAGTCCATTGTTGTCATGGCAGGGAGCATGGCAGCAGGCAGGTGTGGTGCTGGAGACATAGCTGAGAGCTACATCCTGATCCACAAGCAGAGGGGAGAGGGGAGGAGAGAGACAGAGAGAGACGGAGACCGGAGACAGCCTGGGTCTGGCATGGGCATATGCGCTTTTATCCCCTCCCACTCTCAATGTGTGCTTCCATCACTCCCATATAGTCTGTAATGAACAAAATGAGACCCAGGGAGGCCTGCATGAGGCCGTGTAACTGTGATGAGAGTGGTAAGGTATTGGGTCATCTTTTGAGACTGAGGTTTCCTATGTACTTCAGGCTGGCCTCAGACTTGGCCCTTCTGCCCTTGTCTCCCAAATACTGGAACAAGCTCTGCTCTAAGCCACATTTTTGTTTGCTGTTGCTGAGGGTCTTACTATGTAATCAAGATGGCCTACAATTCACTAGGTACCTCAGGTTGACCTTAAATTCATGGCAATCCTCCTGCCTCAGCCTCCAATATTGATAGTACAGGCAACCACTACTTAGATGTCTCAGTCTTTTTTCGGACTAGAAAAGGATGTGAACAAAACAGCAGGTGCATGCACAAACATGCGCACGGTGAGTTGAAGTGGTTCATCTAAACATGATAACAAAGTTGGTTCTTACTCCTTTGCAAAGCCAACTGGTTCCAGCTGGTCGTGAGTTGGGACCTCAGAAGGGGCTGGGCTATTTGCTCTTTGCTAGTTAACCCACGTCAGCAGTGAATTTTACTAACTCACTGGGCACTTCCTCAAATCAATAGTTGGGTACTCTTGGTCTCAGAAAAATAGAAATATGAAGATTTAGTAGCCACCGTTTCCTCTTGTCCATTCCTGCAACGCCCCCCCCCGCCCCATTGTTCATCACAGCTGGGAGCGGGAGGTGCTCCCTAAACCCTCACCCAGCCAACCCTGGCTCTGAGGCTGGCCCATCTCTTAACTTCTGTGTTTCTCTGTGAAACAGGAACTTAGCAAGCAGCCTAGGTCTGGTAGGATGGATGGTTGAGAAAACCCCAGTGGGCTGTGGCAAGGCTCTGAAGCTGAAAAACTGGTTTCTCTCCTAGCCAGTCCCAAGCATCTTTAGGCCTTTTTACTTGTCAACACTATGTAGGGTCTAGTTTGGGCAGAGGGACCTTGACTTGGCAAGGTAGAAAGATGTTAGCTATGGAGACACACTAGACATGGGTCAGTGGGAACATGGGGCAGAAGTTCAGAGGGGGCACAGGTGATGTCAGGAGGAGGCAATAGTTCCAAAATACTCATCACCAAGGTTGTCTTTACTTTGATACGTTTTTTAAAAAAAGTCTCCCAGAGGGAACTGATGTAGGGTCATCCCCCATGTTCCATGAGTACTCCCTCTGTGTAGGTGATCTGTAATAAGCTTAGTCTGTCTGTCTGTCTGTCTGTCTGTCTGTCTGTCTCTCTCTCTCTCTCTCTCTCTCTCTCTCTCTCTCTCACACACACACACACACACACACACACACACATACACACACACACACACACACGAGACCCACATTATCAGCTAGTCTTCACAAAGGCTCATCATAAATATTGTTGCTTGCCCAAGGTCCTGCAAAATCAGGACCTTTTGAACTCAGTTCAGCCTGCCTCCTTTTCTGGGAGGTGTTCTCCTTATCCCTAGAACCCTCGAGAAGTGTCCCTACGGCCTGTGTCACTGCTCACAGGTGTTTGCCCTAGTAACCTCGGCACTGAGTTCTAGGCAGAGCAAGCCAGCCACACCTAGTCCTCCACAGTCAGGCCCTCCAATGAGTCATGAGCATGTTTTGTTCTGAGTGCCAGAACCCCGCCTCCTCTGCAGAGAGCAACTGCCTGCCAGCAGGTGGTTTTTGTTTTCAAACCAAGACCTTCTCCTGAGTTCAGAACTTCAGATATGATTGTCTTTCTGATAGAAGCTCCCCAGTGTTCCTGAGCCGAAAGCCCTGTGTGCCTCTTGCACATGCTTTGGGTTAGGCACAGATGCAGGGCTTCCTAC